GCCCCCAGCCTGTACTGGTGTGTGGCGTTTTTCTTCTCCTGGTGCAGGAGCACTCTCGTGCCTTTGTTGAATGTCCAGAGGCTCTATGTGATTATGAGTTACAACTGATTTTTTATTTTCTGATATTTTCTGATAGCCAGTGCAAATAGGGAATCCTACCAGACATGAAAGATTTCAAGTCATTAGTAATACAGAGCATTGCACACAACATGAATGGCATGGTTGTACCTTTATGCAGGATGATTTATATTTTTTTGATGCATCTGGAGTGCTTTTTCTCATCCATGGAAGGAATGAAGTCAAACATACAAGCTAACCTTTTCAACTTTGGCTCCTGTACCACTGCTTCAATCTTTGTGTCAGTTTATTAGTGTGCAGCATTGGTTAGCTTTAAGGCACTGACCTTTCACAGTGCTGATGCAAGGTTCAATCCCTTCTGAATAGTCATTTTTCATGTCAGTGAGATAGCAGAAAATACAGGGCACTCTGTCTCTCTGGGTCACATTCCCTAATGTTGAGATAACTGCCTGCAGGTAAAGAGAAAAATGTAATTTGAGATCTTCAAAGCTTCCAAACCAGGTGTGCATTTCTGAGTCAAGAGCAGGTAATGATAGGTCACTTACTCAATATTGTCAGCCCTGTTCCTTTGCAAAGTCAGTTTTAAAATATGAGTTAGCTCTCATGAATGCACGCTTGCAGTCACACAAATGACTGCAACGACTCCCTGAAATTTGATTTTGTAGAACTCTTTTTTGTAGTGCGGCAGAAAATTCATCTATCTACATAGAGATTACTTATGGAGAAGTGACTCTTCTTTTTTGGAGCTTGAAAGAAAAGAATGTTATCAAAAGACACTTTAACAGCCACGTGTGGTTGATAAAGCAGACAAGTGTATGACTACTTCATCTCCAAAAAGTACAAGCACTGTATGGTAGAAGTTGTTAGAGATAAGTTGAAATGCTGTAGTGGCTGGTAAAATAACTACATACAGAGTCAGTAATGTCATATGTTACAGTAGAACCTTATCTTTATTTCTGTAAGGCAAGTAATGCTATTTTTCATCTGTCTGCTGCAAGGGCTGTCTGTTAGCTAGAAGTAAGGCTATGAAGATGGCTTCTGAATTTCTGAAATAAATAGGATAGTTCCAGTGTAACAGAGATGGGTGAGTACTTAGATCTGACTTTCACAAACAGTACCACCCGCCTCCTCCCACTCCTTTTTTAATTTTTCTTTTTCTAAGGATGTTTTAGCTCCAAACATTGCTAGGCAGAGGGAAACATCTCTGCTGGAATGTGCTGACAGGGATTTAATAAAGGTGGAACTATGTGGTGAGGCTGTTCATACCTGACGGAAATAAATTTTCACTACAGGAGTTAGAAGTTGAACACATGGAACTTTCAGAAGGGGTCTTTGTATGTCTCCTTAGACAAGAAAAATACCTTAGGGGGAGGAAATTTCACATATGAAAGATTATTGGATGCTGGGAGGGGGCTGTCTGCAGAGTTGCATCACATAGGGTTTCTTTGTACTGCTTGTTTAAACCAGCTGGAATATTCAGACTGAGCCCGTAGCTCCATGGGCATTCCTCCTGGCAAGAAGTGCTGCCTTTAAGTGACATCCATTACTTCTGCCTTTTTGCTGTGCTTGTGTAGAATGGTGTAAAAAGAATTGGTGAACTGGCCTAGATTAAAGACAGCCTTGTTATAAGCAGCTGCAGGAACTGCTCTATGTGTGCTCTCAGGGAAAAATCTTCACTCTCTTGCTAATCTGTGTGGTCAGCTAACTTTGGTATTAGTTCAGCACTAGTCGTTTAAGCTGTGGAAAACAATTAGATTTTTGGAAAGACAAATAGATCTTTACTTAAAGTACTCTGGGGAAGCCTTGCCTCTCTTTCAAGATGACCTGAAGAGGCTCACTTCCTTAGGCTACAGCCTGACCGCACTAATTCTGTCTTTGGTGTCCAGGCTGATTTCACACACAGTTACATTTTTGTCACTCTGTTAGAGCAGATCAGATCGAAGCTATATGTAGGTGAGTGGTGTCTGAAGCATTTGCACATCTCATTGAACCCCTCCAGCTCACCTTTTGAGTTTGTTCATCTAGCTAAATGGTTCTAACCTTGAGAAAGAATGAATCAGATGTGTGTTTCTGAGACTTCTCTCATTGCTCTGTTGTTTTTATCACTAAATGTAACCTTGATGCATAGGATGTCTTCAGAGTCCCTTATGTTTAACTCACTGTTTCTGGCAATGAGCTAAATTGTGTACGGATAAATCACATAAGGATAAATTATTTAAATCCTGAATTCCCACAGATTTTCAATTTTTCTTCTGCACGTAGCAGATCCAAACAAACATCAGCAATGTGCTCACATGCATGGTCTGTTGTTAACTCATGGTATTCATTTGATTCAAACAGGGGATGTGAAAAGAATACCTGGATTTACAAAGCTTGCTCAGATATTCTGGTCCTTTATTTTCAGAATATAAGACCAACTCCTGACTTTTATAAACCAGTCCCATTCCCTGCTCTGCTGCACATGTGCTGTGGTGACAGCATGTAACTCTGAAGCAGCGTATGGCCCCTTCTAGGCGTTGGAGAGCCCACAGATCCTTCTCTTGGAGGTTGCTCTCTCTGTGCTATGTAGCACATTGAAAGTAGTTTATAGCAGTGAGCCAGACAGACCTGGCTTCCTACCATTTTCCTCCTAGCATTTTGCACAGAATCTGTAGGTACCTTGCATGAGTTCTCAGCAGGCACATCAGGAAGATGAGAACTTTTGCTTTGTATTCTCAGCTCTGTTGAGAGAGAGAGGGTGATGTAACATTTTAAAGGGGTTTTCAGTGTAAACTTCTTCTATTACATACTTTGCATTTTGAAATGAATTCTGCTGCTTCAGTCTTGTTAATGTGCCATTGGTTCTGTGTTCTCTTAAGCACTGAATAACCTCCTTTCTGAGTGAATACAGTGCACAATTTTATTCTGCTTCCTACAGAACATGAAATGGCAGTGAAATGAGCCCACAGTCTAATGGCTGAATAGGAGAAATGTGACATGGCACTGTGCTTTTTTCAACTTGCAGGACTTAGAGCATATACAGCAGCAGTGTTACTGCTTCTCTCAGCGATAGCTTCTCTCATGTGAGATGAAGGCTAAAAAGACACAAATTGTAGATGCCTGTAGCTGTGATTTTGATGTTTTAGGGAAGCACTGGGCATTTTTAAATTCACCTCTTCTGGGAGATGCCATTTCTTTGGTCCAAATGCATGATTTCAGTGCTTTGCTGAGGAGGCATGAAAGCACTGCCATCCGAGATTTATGCAGTTCATCAATGAGCAGTTATACACTGGTTTTCACAAGTGGCTCATAATTCTCTCTGAGTAGACAATGGTTTTTTTGTGTGTTTATGGTCTTCTTTGGACAATATTTACAACTTTTACTAGACACAGTGCTTTTCAAGGCTTTGCTTTCCTCGTGCCAAGGACTCTTTAAAAACAGAGATTGTGGTCCCCAGACATGGAGCACCAGTTGGCATAAAAGCCTACTGTGACACTTGAAAAGGCTTTTAAAACTTTTATGTTTGTTCACACAAGTGTCTCAGTGTAGAAAATTCTGCCTTCAAGCTTCATTAAGTTTGTAAGGCCGCAAACTGAAGCCAATGGTTTTTGCATTTAACTTTAAGACAATCACTGAGTTTGAAATACAGGTTAAAAGCAAGGAAAAAAAAAAAAAAAAGCACAGATTTTGAGCCCTGGAGAAAAGTACTGTGAGATCCCCAGCTCTGCAGCACTGCAATGTTACCCTCAGCTGAAGTTTTAGATGTGGTGTTCAAAGGAGAGCGCAGAATCCTTTCAGCACTGTGCAGGGCGATGGATGAATTGGGCCATAAAAAGAGTAATAAATACAGCTGCAAGACAGTGATGTCTTTTCCATGCAGCTTGTCTAGAATCCTCCAGCACCTGTCTAGGATGGATGCAGCGATAACACTTCCAAGTCACTACTGAGAATTTCTTAAAATCCCTCTCTCCCACCTCAGCACTAACAGTGATATAATTCAATGTATATTCATTCAGGCAGTAGTGAGATATGACTAACAAAGTATGAAATATTTTTAAGGACTGAAATCTGGAATTCTAGGAAAAAGGAATTGATTTTTCAGCGCATAGCAGCCCTTGCATACTGAGTTCCTTCAAGGCCAACATTAAGAATGTAAACAATTTACACTGTGCGTACCATTGTTCTTTTATGCTCAACTGTATGAATTCAAATAGTCACGTTTCTTAAATAAAAAACAGAAGCTTTGTGATTCCTTTGTGATTCTGCACAATACAAACCTCTTGCTTTTGAAGTTGCTCTATTTTTTCTCTTTAAAATTCATATAATCTTCAGATTTCATATGCTGCACTTGCCGCACTCACTGAATTGAGGAGTTGCTGTCTCATAAGATTTGTATGGATGGTGGAAGTGGCCACAAGTTGTACCAGAGGAGGTTTGGGTTGGACATAAGGAAGAACTTTTTCTCTCAGAGAGTGATCAGGCACTGGAATGGCTGCCCAGGGAGGTGGTGGAGTCGCCGTCCCTGGCAGTGTTCAAGAGGTGTCTGGATGAGGAGCTATGAGATATGGTTTAGTGCTTGTGGTAGCAATGGTAATGGGTGGACAGTTGATCTAGATCATCTTGCAGGTCATTTCCAACCTTGTGATTCTGTGTTACTTAGTGATCCCATGTGAGGCAGCTGCCCATTCTGGCCGTCCACACATGGTGTTAGCCCAGGGCACACCACAGACCATCAGCCTGCACTAAGTCTTGCACTTAACTCCTAATAAAAGCTCTAGCTTTGTTCTGTGTTTTTATGTAATCCAGAAAATGTTCAGCAGCATTAAAAGCAGAACAATACAGAAATAAAAATAGATGCAGTGCTTACTGCACCTTTGCAGCAACGTCGCTATATTTTCCACTTAAATTCTCCTAAAAAACCCCTTCTTTTGTGTGTTTTCCAGGCCTAAAGATTTTCGAATGAAGTAATAGAAAGAAAAATTGCTATCAGGAATGCCCGTCCTCCTTGGAAAAGAATTCTTTCATGGCAGAAGAACTCATCTGTGCATCTCAGTTATCCCTTGAATGCAGAAAGCTTCTGGCAGGTATTAGCAAATCTTATTGCGAAAGACTGTAAAAATGGTTGTATTTAAAGCAACTAAGGATGGATGTTACGTTACTCACGTGACCTGTGTTCCATGTTGTGTGTTATCTGTTAATTAAATTCCTTTTATTGCTATTATTAAACAATGGCTACAGTTGTTGTTTTTTTGAATACTTAAACCTGAGGGGAGCAGTACCTTGTTTGCTGAAATGAGGTATCTCACCGTAGAAGCTGCAAAACTTGACTTTCATCTGGTAAGAGTAGTGAATAGTTATGGATTGAAAATAAGTGGCTTGAGGTGTTTAACCTTTATCTGTCTATCTCCGCAGAAGTCATGTTGTGCAGTTTCTTGAAAGCTTCGTCTAGAACCCGGTTTGCACATATCACAAAACATAAATGGTGGGATTTAGATGCTTGCCTGTCTGTGCAGGCCTTCAGTTTCCATGTCTTTTTAGCTCCTTTGCCCGCTGCCATGACCGAGGTGCTGGTGGGCATCGTCTGGAGCCAAATTGCATTTAAAACAACAGAACAAAACAACCTGTCAAGACTCATCTTCCAAGAAAGCAGTGCACATATCCAAACACAAGTACATGCATACTGCAGTCCCATTAGACATAACAGATCTGTTAAAATCTGCATTTTGGAACAAGATAAGGTGATAAGGAAGTGCTGGAGGACTGCAGAGCACCAAGAACAGCGTGCATTTCAGGGGCAACACCACCTGACCAGAGACATTTCTCAATTGTTTTTCTGCATAGACAGTCTTCAAGCCAAAGTAGTGTAAATAAATGAATCCCTTCATGTTTTCTATACTGATTTGTTATCTTCCAATTTTTACAGCGGTTGGTGAGGAAAGTCTGTGTTTCCAACACCCATTTTGTTGAAGCAGTGTAGAGGAAGCAAAACAATGCTTTAGGTATGATCTGATTTTATATGCATTTCTTCAGCCGTTTGCTCAGGTTTATCCCATTCCTGCCCATAGAACATACAAGGCTACACTTCCACGACAGTAATGAAACTTAATTCAATCCTGAAAGCATTCTTCAAAGGTTAAAATAAACACGTTTTGTGCTAGAATGCAGTATGTAATTTGTAGGTAAGATTTGGGTGACGTCAGCCATACATTCATGTGCTGCAAACTTCACGGTCGGCAACTTACGTTTCTTAGGCTGTCTGGAAAAATGCAAGACACTCCTGATGGTACAGTGACTGAATTCTGGAGAAAATACTGAGCAGCTGTGTCTGTGTCTCACTCTCTTTTGGCAAATGCATAAAGCCTGAGTATTACTTTTATATGTCATAGTAGCCATCAAAAAGTTAGTTTTGCATCTGCAACAAGTTGACATGGAGCCAGTGCTAAATGAAGCACTCTGGTTAGCAGCTAATGCCATCATTAAAAACGTAAAGCACAACTCGTATAATTAAAGCTTGTCCTTCAGGATATAAGTTAGAAAATTGTAGTGGGAATGCCTAACCAAGAAACACTCTTTGCTTGATCCACTGCACGTAGTCTCCCATACGCGGTGATGGCGAGGATGGTTGCGTGTGCACCGTGGGGCTCCTGTCCTGCCATTTGGGGGGGCTTGGAGACAGGATGGCTGCTGGGGAAGCACAGGGAAGATGACGCCTGCCTTGCAGCACTGTAAAGTGGAGTTAATCTGGTTAAAGGTAAAAGTCAGTAAGTTATCTACCTTATACTTTAAATACAAGTCTGTATTGGGAACTCACATTTATGGCAATCTTAATCACCCTTCTACAAGAAAAGTGGTGAGGTTTAGGGCTGGGAAAATCAGTGGGAAGACAGAAACAGCATAGAAAGGAATACAGCCACGTAACAGGAAATTGCCCTGGGATATACACAGCCACGGGTATTAGTTGCATGTGTAAATTGTTTGTGTTATTAATGAGGCTGACTTCTGGGCCAGAGAACTTGAGATTAATACAGTAAAGGTATGCAGCTGTCTCATCACCAGTTTCTCTTCTTTGTCAAGAGCTAAGAGAGCTTCTGGCAGTGGCCAGAAGCAAAAGCTGACACATCTCCCTCCTGCGATTGAAGAGGCTGAACTTTGTCAGGGGCAAGCAGGAACCTGGTCCTGGAACCCACAGGTCAGCCTGTCTAGGGCTCTGTAGGGCTGGATTAACAGTACTTAAAATCCATGACTTCATTTTAAGTGTATGCACATTTTTGACCTTCTGCTTTAAAACTTCCTTTGTTTCTTAGTCTCAGTAATGTTCAAAGCTGTTTATTGAATCACTTTAGAAGTTGTCTGCTTTGTTTTAACCTCATTAATTGCTTTGTTATTCTCAAGTGGTTGGGTTGTTGTTTTTTCTTTTCTTTCTCTCATTTTTAGGTGATCCAAGTGGCTTTTGCAACCATTTCTTCCAGGCTTTTGACTTTGGCACGTTAATATCCAAAATCTCACATCCACAGAAGGGACAGCTTCCTTATCTCATATTTCATCTCCCCACTTCTTCATACATTGTATAAATAAGGCTAAATATTCTTTCAGCTGAGTGCCTGTAACCTTTACAATAAAACCACTGTACAAAAGTGCTGGAAAAGGAAAATATGTTTTCTTCTCTTTACATTCTGTCCCCTGAAGATCTACACTACTGTTCCAAGCTAAAATCAGTCAAATAAATCCAGAATCAACACATAAAAGCTTGCCACTTTTATTTGCATACAAAACAGAAATGAGAGAGGTTCACAATAAATTATCAGTGTACTCCCACAGAACATTCTTGTGTGTTTGCATAATGTGGGTTAAAAACAAATACCGTTAAGATAAGACTTCTTTGTGAAAGGTTTTAAGGAAACCTGATAATGTACTTTTGTCTGGTGAATTTAGTAGTGTTACTCTGCTAGTAAAAGCAATTCATCCAAAACTAACAGAACACAGTCAGCTGCAGAAATTTGGGTAACAAAACATAAGCTTTGTTGAACGGTTCTATCTACACCAACTAACCAGATGCATTTTTTTTCAGATACAGCTTGAATACTGTACTCTGGAGAAAGATCTGAAAGTGATCTTCCATCATCATCTAGCACTGACCCACTAACATACTAAGTTTCTGGCATGCAAGATAATTTTACCTTTATTTCTTGTTTCAACTGGTCTGGTACATGTATTTTTCTTTAATAAAGAGCCTGTAAACATCTTCAATGACAGATCAGGCACCTGGACAAGGGGCCAAATACAGATGCACATAAAATATTTCCCTTTCTAAACAGTTCACTGAGAGGGCTCTTTGCCATTTTCCCTTTTGTGTTCCAGAGTCTTGATGCTTCTTTTGGCTATGTTCCTTCTGAAGCGACTAATTCCAGGGGATCTCAGCTCAACGGCTTCCATCTCTTCTCGAACGGGAGTAAACTCTGGTTGAGCAAGATGAGGTGATGGATAGGAGGACTGGGAGTATGGGGATGGTAAAGGGTAGGACCCGTGAACTACGTACGGCTGTTGCTCACCATCATAAAGGTCCTCAGGGTCATAGATTTGGTAGGAGTTATGTGGCAACTGCACTACTGGGATGTCTTGATCAGTTGGCTCACCGTATCCACCTTAACCCACCACCACCAAGAGTATTCATATGGTTAACACAGGAGAAGGGGAGCAGAAAATTGAAGCGTTCATTAGGAAATTGACACATATATATATCTTTTATACATAGAGAGAGCGTGTGTGTATATATATATATATAATCTTTAAATACGCATTTTTTTATTCACATGAAGGAACGGTGAAAACATTTAAGAAAATTAATAAGCTGGAGCAATTGGAAACCCACCAACATACAGCCAAGTTAGTTGGAAACCACCACCAGAATTTGTCTTACGTCCAGTTGTAATACTGTGCTTATTATACACTGCACAATCTGCCTGCTTTAGCTTATTCCAATTATGGGCTGGAATATATGATTAACGGGCAAAACGGGTCGGACAATAGCTTTTAGCAGTGCAAGGAAGCTAAGTGCATGTACAGCAGCTAGCAGGTTCATTAGTGGTAGTCAATATCGATGGAAAGCACAGAGCAGTTCAGCATCCGTATCTGACCTTCAGCCAAATGAGGACTGAACCAGAATGAATCTTTCACCTTCTGGATTGGTAGCCATTGTAAGGGATTGGGCCTTAAAACAGGAAATGAACAACAGGGAAGGGAAGTGAGGAAAAAAGGATAGGAAGAGACGACAACAAAAACATTCACATAAGTAAAACATACAAATCACTTCACGGGCAGATTAAACTGCAAACATCAAACAAATAAGCCTTATGCATAACGTTTGTAGTAACTAGTTATTTACTAAAACAAATTTCAATTTTAGGCTGGACAACATCACTTTTGATAACTGTGTTAACTTCTTCCCTCAGCCTCTCTGCTACAACAGACAAGGAAAGTAGAATACACAGAAGATACAGAAAGAATCATTTTCTCCAGATTGCTTCACTTGTTAATGACAGACGTGCATCCCTGTTCCAGGTTACACTGGGCAGGTTTAGTAACGTTCATGCTCTCATGCCATGTGGAGGCACACGGAAGAGGAAGTGGAGAAACACGTTTTAACAACTAGAGATGTACGGCTCTGCTGTCGCCAACATTAGGAGGTGGGATTCAACACACAGAACGTTCAGGTGGAGCAGGCTCGTACAGTTACACACACACACACAAGACAAAACCCAATACACTTCCTCCATTCACAGGCCCAAATCAGATGGTGGACTCGTGTCACTGTGCTGCAGGCACCTTTGGTTTGTGGGCTCATTCCACTAAATTCAGCAGCACTGGACGTGTGTGTTTTTACGGAGCTAATCACGTTTTAGTGCAAGGATCCCCAGTAGCCTCCATCTTACTTTGGCTGTTAGAAGGACACGCTGTGTTTCCTCGCCCCGCCTCCCCCCGCGCGCAGCCTACTCACCTCCCATACCATAGCCAGCACACGAGGAGGGGTCACAGTACCCCGGGGGGCCGGCGGGGCCCTGGGAGCCAGGGGGCCCGGTGTGACCAGCAGGGCCTCGTGGGCCTGGAGAGCCTGGTGGGCCCGGGCTGCCAGTTCTGCTCTCTCCTGGAGGTCCTGCATAAAACAGGGAGACGAAACGTGTGACTAGCATCTCTCACAAGGCAGTGGGTCGATCGCCTCGGCAGTGCTGCAG